GGGCGCGGGGCCCCCCCCCCCACCCACTGGGGGAGTGACACAGCCACTACAGTGGAGTCGGAGACTGCCTGAGACTTTGAGGAAGGCGACTCTGGTAATACCCCGGAAGAGGCAGACGATGATGACTTGGCCAGAGTGCTAAGCCACGAAGGAGAGGCACAGCAGCTTTGGACTAATGGCAGAGCGGCTGAAGTAACAGGCTGAGCAACTGCCAGATAGGGTGTGGACAGTGGTGAGGTAATTCCTCAGCTGAGCTAAACGGTGAGTTGCAGACCCTGTGACATAGGTGCTTCTGAAAATTTTACCCGACATATGTATGACTAGCTGGTTCACAGCTGTTAAGCAAATGAAATGTGCCATTACTGGCTTAGAAATGACAACATTCAACATCTGATTATATGTTCCACTCATGTGAATTGCAAGAACCCCGCCCAGCTTTAGAATGTAGGATTCACTTATACTCTCCTCCATGACCAGCTGACAGGACTTTCCATTCCTTAAATTCCAGCTTAAAAAAAAGTAAAAACCAATATTTTAAAACTTAGCTGTGTGCTGCTAAGTGCTTACAACCCTCTTTAGGCATCTAAATGAAGGTGTACTGATTTTCTTTTTGAAAGGTGCAGCTCCCATTGACTTGGCAGCATCTCGTTGGCATGAAGTTTCTTTTAGACTAACATATAAATTAATAAAATGTTGAAAACTTGCCATATTGACGCCTGGGATGTTTTAATATTCAACTACACTAGGGAGCAAAGATGGGAAACAAATTATATTCTGAAGGTGCTGTTTGGGATTTCAAAGTTGAGGTTAAGTTCCATTTTGCACTTAAATCAGGGATTCAACCTCTTTGCTTTGTATGAAAAATAGGGTACTTCTTCCCCAAATTTACAGCACTTGCTCTCTGACTACAGAATGAATTTTCGAGAATTGACAAGTCTATTAATTAGTTTATAAATTAATTAAAAACGCTGTCCTTTGAAAAATTGTAGCATCCCTTGTGAGTCTTTTCTTTGATGCATGTTATATTAACAGCAAAACAACACACTTCACATTTTTCATATATGTAAAATTAATTGAAGTCTTGTGTGTAGGCTGTATTCAAATAAATTAGGTTGTAATTAAGCTAAGCTATTACTGCTTGTTGTCTGTAATTGTTATAATTCTGTAGGTCATGGATGGCTCAGGTCAACAGCACAGATAACTCTTAAGTAGTGCTAGCGTGTCAGTGGTAAATCAGCCAATCTCTCTACTACAGTTAATTTTCATGCAAATAGTGGTAATGATTCATTGGTCTGAGGAAGACTGCACACACGTATCTAAAGTTCTCATTGCTAGATTAATTGTCCCAACTGCTCTTTAAAGATTCTATTGCTTCAGGTTAGTTTGGGCAGCAGTGCTTGAGTGGAGCGAAGGCAGCAGCGCAGTGGGGAACCCCTAGGCATTGAAACACACAGCCAGTGGAACTGATGGGATAGCCTTTAACACACAGTGATTTTGGACTTGGGCTGGGCTCTCCAGGAGCTCTTTGCATAGCACAATCTCACTCATACGCTCTGCAAACCAGTCAGTCAATTGTAAATTAAGGGCCAGATTCACCAGCACACTTCAGCTGTTTTCTGCTGCTCTGGTGATGCACAGCAGCTATAAAACACAACTTCACTGGCTGGTACACTCGGACTTCTTTGGAGTACTGGGAAGCTGCCCGTAAAAGTTAAAATAAAAAATGATTTAAAGTTGCTCTATATATTTTCAAATTAAAAACCCATTCTCTTTGGGCTTATCATTTATTGTTGTAAGCATCTGACATTTTTAATATGCTTAAAAAACTAAAGAAATCCCCAGGCAAAAAATTATGCGCAAAAGAGCTGGAAGACAATTTAGGAACAAATGTGCCATTTCAGGTAAAGCAGGCATTTCTATTAATGCAGAATCCTTCCCACATCATCTCCGACATTTAAACAATCTCTACTCTCTGTGTAGTAGTTTTGTTTTGTTTTTTTTAATATAAAAAGGACTGGCGTAAGTGTAAGTCAATCCACGTGCCAAGGAAAGAATAATGCACACAGCTGTAAGTGAAAAATACTTCTGCCCCAAGTAAAAAGAGGTGCACACATCAGAGCAACAGCGTTTAAATAGTGGGGGAGACATTTAGTCCTGCACGGAGGGCCAGCAAAAGGCCTACACACTGGGGGGTCAAATTCACTCTTTATGAATTAGCTATGAATGTCCGTTGGTCATTTCCTCAGACCATTTGCCCTGGAACATCTCTGTTAGCATGGAACTATTCAGGCAAAGGAGCCCACCTGCAAGGAAGTATAGGTTTGTGTGAGACTCTCCGAGCTCACCTTGAACTAAATCAGAAGTTGTCTAAGGTTACAGGAGTACCTGAGCCAGTCAGCACAAAGTGAACCTAGTAATGCTAACTGTCCTTGAGGTATTATTGTCTATCCAATTATTTTACTTCCTAACATTTTGATTGCCAGTGTGCTTTGAGCACGAGGGGCAAAATGTGATCCTCCATCTTCATGCAAATTTTTCTAGTAAGAAAAAGCATGGAATTAATTCTCCAAGTATGATAGGCAGAATCCTTGCTACGGAACATATTTTGAGTTTTTCTTTGAGCATCAACTGATTGTGCACTGTAGTGCTAATGCAATGACACACGGCATGGGATTTAAGCTGCCATAGAATTGTATGGTCTTTAGGTATAATAATGTGTGAAATTTGTCCTAAGACAAATGCTCTCTTGGGCCCTGATCTTGCAAACACCAGCTACTGAGTGTAGTTCTTATTGCAATGTACAGTGCCTAGCATAATGGAGTCCTGCTCTGTGACTAGGGCTAGGTCTACACTACCTGCCTGAATCGGCGGGTAGAACTCGACCTCTCGGGGATCGATTTATCGCGTCCCGTTGGGACACGACAATCGATCCCTGAATCAACGCTCTTACTCCACCAGCGGAGGTGGGAGTAAGCGCCGTCGACGGGAAGCCGCAGAGGTCGATTTTGCCGCCGTCCCTACAGCGGGGTAAGTCGGCTGCGATACGTCGAATTCAGCTACGCTACTCATGTAGCTGAACTTGCGTATCTTAAATCGCCCCCTCCTCCCCCCGTAGTGAAGACCTG